TTTTTTTTTTTCGTTGACTTGTAATGATCATCGTGTATTAACATGTTCTTAGGCAATGGGTACGGTCGTTAGGTAGGTGACAGTTGTGGTGGTGAATACGGCTAAAGTTGCCGCAAAACGTGGCGTATAGGTGAGCGGAATGAGAGGAAAGAATGATAGGGCCGGAGTGCCGTGCAAATTCATAAAGTTTATTCATCAGCTAGGCATCCCCTATGGTCAAAATCCCACCTGAAAGGCGAAAATACTCGAAAGCAACCTGAGTGATAGCAACTGCCAACAGCAATTTTTTCGGAGGTTGCACCGAAGCAGCCTGACGGTGATTTGATTCCATAACTATAAAGTACGAAGCAGACTGCAGCATCCAGGTTGACTTTGGAAGTGCAGATGACGAAGATGCGAAGGAATTCAGGAGGAAAGAAATAGTGTAGATTAGAGAAGGTAAGAGTGAGATAAGACATTTCGGTCCGATTCCTCTGCATTTCGTGTCATTCATTTCGATAATTTACTATCGAAATGAATGAACAAATTGCAGAGCAGTTGGTCATTGTTCCACTGCTAGTGTGGTATTCTCCGTCTTTAAGACGTGTTAATGCGTAGCCACTGTAGCAGCCAGGTTGACCCTGGAAGCTTAGATAGCGAAGACGCAATAGATTACAGCATGAATGAACAGTATGAGAAAAAAAAAGGTAAGAGTGTGAGATAAGACGTTTCGGTCTCATTAAGTTATGTACGTAGTTCCCGCACTCATGCGTTGTGGGTTACCGCGATGGGACTTGAGTGCATATATAAATAGGTACAAATATCTTATATATACAGTTTTTATAATGTTTTCATTTCATTCTTCTCATGACTCACTACAGTAATCCTATCCCCTACCCCATCTTAATCTTATTCAACGATCTCTACATTCCTTCCAATTCCATCCTTTTCTTGGTCAACGCGCCTGTCTGACGCCTTTTGGGGTCTTCATCATGGGAAGGGAGGAACATTCCTTCACATCCGGGGTGGATCCTTTAGGCTCCATATAAACCCCCATTTCCCTCACTCGTGTTCCTGGTCCTGCTCCGAGTCTTGGTTCCAATATCTACTCCTCGTCCGGTCCTGCTCTCGACTCTGATTGGTTCTACATGTCGGTCTTCCCGGAACATTGGCAGAGACCAACGCCTCTCATCAACCTATGGTTAGGCTGGCATATCCATTACTTTAATTGCTGTATTCTGTCCTTTTAACATCCAATAAACGCTTTCCTGTGTACCTCGCGCCACAACGACCACCACATCCATCTCACATTTACTCACAGCAGTAGTTACATTATTGTGGGCGCTAGCAGTTCTTGCGCTCGGGTAGCTTAGCAATTACATTTCGAACAGCTTTCATTTGTTGTGGGAAAATGTTGTTGAAAAATACACTTCTGCCGATAAATTACTTAAAAAGGTTTCTCTAAAAAATGATTATTTGTGCTGTTTAGATCAACCATTGCCAGAGCATAGTGCTGGACAAAGTTGTGATCAGGGCCCGATCTGTGGCGAAACTCAG